CCAAAAGAAATCATTCTCAGCCAGATTCCTGATCTGTCATGCAGAACAGATAAGATAGAATCATTGTATCATGGAGGTTGAACTTGCCTAAGTAATTATACAGTTCAGCCTCTATCTTCAATGCAGAATCTTCAGCTAGAGCATCCCCAGCAGGCAGCTGATCAGACTCTTTATATCAATACCCCACAAACCTGTAGGCAATTGGTTCCATTGCCAAACTATTCTTACTTCTAATGTTCAGCTGAAATCTATTCTCTTATAGCCTAAAACAATTTAATCTGGTCCTACCCTCTAGAGTAGTGGAGAATAAGTTTGTTCCCTCCTCTTTGTGACAGCTTCTCAGTTCATACTTTAGTTCCTTCATCTCTCCTAATAGATTTTGTTCTCCAGATCTTTTATCATCCTTGTTGTCATTCTCATAACCCCCTTTCATTTGCCTATATATATTTCTTAATATAAGGTGCCCCAAACTAAATGCAGTACACCAGATGAGGCCTGAAAAGTACAGAATAATTTAGCATTATACTTCCCTTGACTTGGAAATTATGCTTCTATTAATATAAGCTAAATAATATTTGTTAGGCCTGTACTATCAATGAAAAACAGTTTCAATACTCTGTACTAAATTTGGGGGGGGGGGTCATTTCTAAAGTAATTCTAAAATATTGTTAGGGGTTCATATTGTAACTGTTGCACTGTAACCCTGGAACATATTTTCACCCAACATCACACAATGTTCAGATAATCCAATAAGTAAAAGTTTATTAATGAATAAGTATAAAAGGAGAAAGGCAAGTCAAAAAAGAAGCAGCAAATGTAAGAAAGTAATTCCCAATGAGATCAAGAGTTCATCATCTTTTAAACCAAGGCATAAAAAAGCAATCCACAGAGTCTTGAGTTAACACAAAGCAAAAAAAAAATCCTCATGCAGGATATTGTTCAAAAGTTATATCCATAAACATGAAAATAAGGACACAAGAAAGGCAAAACCTCCAAGAAAATGAAGTCATAAACAGGAATCAAAACAAGAATCTTGAAATACAGGAACCAGGAACTTAGGAGTAGAAACCAGGAGCTGTTTCCGCTTTTTACAATATTGTTCCCACTAAAGGTCTGAGAACCCAGAAACCACTTAAAAGGCCTCAGTTCCTCCCATGACATCACTTCACACACACCTGCTTTTTCTCTCCTTATCTCTAAGCCTCTGAGAAAAATGAGTTTGTCTTTGTTTTACATTTTGCCTCCTAATTTCAAAATGACTTGATCTGAAAAAACTTTCATCTCCTACATTTTCTTCCAAAGGCCACTCTGGCCTAGTCTCATGGGAACTGATATCACTTTTGCCTGTTGCCTGGGAACAGGCAAGAGATTCCAAAACATCTCTCTCCAGGCCCCTTCTATCTTCCACAGACTCCTCAGACATTATAGGTTGCAACTCATCATCCCCTTCCTTATCCTCTGAGCACTCAGAAAGCTCATACGACGCTTGCCAGGCTACAACACTAATTATAACGATATTTTTGTTACTTTTTTGTTAAGTAATTTTGCAAGGGGGAGCTTCCGGGGCTCCTTTCTCCCGCATTTTTAGAGCTATTGGAATTAAACTTGCTACAATGGTAGAACACAGTATTGTTACCTGCCCCCCCCCCCCCAGTTTCACAACATTTCCCTCATCCACTATTTTTTGGGAATTTTAAAATGTTTTTATGAACATTAAAAAAATTACAAGAGCTATATCCTTGAATTTATATTTTTCATGCTACAACATAACCAGGGTATCATCCCTCTCCCCTCCCCCCCAAGTTTAAGAAAAAGTTGCAGATTCACAGATTTTTAGGGGATTTTAACCAACATAATACTACTCACTGAAAGACCCCAGGGGCCATCCAGTTCACCCTCCTTCTGCCAGGCAGGAAAAGCATAGTAAAACAGATGCCCATCCAGCCTTTGAAATAATGATAACAACAACAATCATAGGAAACCTACTGGGTAAACTTTGGAGTTATTGCCGCTCAACTTTGCCTATCTTATAGGGTTGATTCAATTCCCAACAATCCCTTTTTTATCTCGAAATCCCTTTGGAAAATGAACACAGGTTTTTCTCCTGCTGAAGTGAGCAGAATTCTGAGAAAGGTAGTTTAGGGTGAGACCTTTTGAATTCTCTGCCACAGATGTCCCCGCCTTCCCAAACTTACATTTCCCAGAATTCGGCTTACCACCTTGTGCCACCTCCTCCTCTTTACTCTTCTCCCTGAAAATTTTGGTGGGGGAAACCTCATGTTCATTTTTGAAAAGGATTTCAATATGAAAAGGGATTGCTGGGAGTTGAACAAGCCTAGTAGTTATACATTACAATCATTTGAACTCCGCCCAAAAAACATGGCAGGGCTTAAGCATAAGAGACAGACAGACAGACAGGGTAGGTGTTCACTAAGAAGTAGTTGTAAGAGTACAATCATAAACAATTCAATGGAATAAGAATGAAAAAATACCTGAAAACCCCAAAGTTTTTCATATATTTTCTGTAAATTCAAGGAAGAAGGGGAGAAAAACCCAGGAGGAATCACTAAAGATGTGAAGCCCAAACTTACAGGAAGAGTTTAATAGTATAATGAAAGCTAAAGCAAGAGAATGAACAAAGTAACTGTGATGCTAGTGCTCAGCAAGGATGGTACAATGATAACCGATCACAACAAAAGGGCAGAACTACTCAACAATTATTTTACTTCACTTTTCATCCTATTTTATTCTCCCCTTTGCTTTGTAATCCATTCTGTGCCTCGTTTTAGTGAAACAGGAGGCCAGGAGATAATAGTGGGATAATCATCCTTGTGGTGGGGAAGTCCTTGTGGCAGTTGCATGGAGATCTTTCAGATTGGGGCTCCCTTGGTAAATATGTTTCTGGAGACCTGGCATATAGAAGATACAGCCTGAGGTGGCAACTTTCCTCCTTCATTACACCACTCAAACAATTTCATAATGACTACAATTCTTTGGCATTTTTTAAAAAAATGCAGTTATAAGGAGATTGGTATTTCCACTAACATCTTTAAATCTGCTTAATTCAGTAGTGATTCTGCTAGAAACAAAAGTAAAATATAATCATCAGTTACTGCTCCTGTTATCTCTTGAAAACTGTGTAATTAACTCATTTTCTATGTACATCATAATTTAAGTTAATCCTGTTATAGACATTGGCAAGTAACAAATCTTTAAATAGACTAAGTCCACATAAAGCTAGATAAAGAACATTTATTGATAAAACAGTGACTTTGCGTTCATGAAAGTTAATTTTTATCTCTGCATGAATTATCCTTTATGATGTTCCTACTTGAAAGAGATGTCACAATTTGAAAAATCATAATTATGGAGAAAGGAAATAAAATAAAAATGAGGAAAAGATACTAAGAGGGAAATATTCTTTCAAATAAAAATGCAACAAATCATTGCTGCGTACAATAAGCTATAACTTTTATAAAATTACAAGGCTACCATGAATTATCATGAAATTATAAATAAATAATAACTCAGTGTTAGGCAAGCCAGACATATTGTGAGCAGATTTAAAGCTGAGTTGAAAATTAATTCACCGATGATCTTTTTATAATGTGAAAGTAAGCTTTTCTGGAGTAGGATAAAGTGTTTGCAAAATTCTCATTTTCACTGCGTTTGCCAACCCATTCCTGTTCCTTCATGACAAGGTAACACAGACAAAGCATTGATGTCTGAAACATTAGAATGATATGTCCAAAACCTCATTAAAATGTGAAATAAAAAAAATCACTGACTCAGGAATAGTAAGGGGAAGTTGAGAGTGGGAGTAGAGGAGAATGCCAGCACATTCTAGAATGGTCCCATAAAGTAGAATGGTCCCATAAAGCAAAATAGGTGATAGGAACATGGCAGGTTCTGCAGTTATTGATGGGTTTTCCCATCATTAGCAAAGGGACAAGTTTATCATGGGGAGGAGATAGACTGGCAACAGAATCACAAGGCATCATGCAATAAAATCCTATATCTCAATTTTGCACCAAACAAATCTTAATCTTCAAATAATATTTGAAAACTGTAGTTTTTCCTCCGCAGACTTTACAGTAGGAAGAAGATTGTGAAAATTTCTCACTGTTTCCTTCAAGAACAAAATTCGTACATTCATATGCAGTATTAATTGTGAGATGCAAAATAAAAGTTATACATTGATTAAAGCAAACTGGCATTTTGTCTTACACTAGATTCAAAAGTTGGGAAATGTTATTTTTCAACTATAGTTTCCAGAATCTCCTAATCAACCTAGTTAGTAGTCTTGCTGAGTAGGGGATTCTAGAAGTTATAATCTAAAATTTCTATGTGCCAAAATATAGTACATGGAAAGTAAGTGAAGAAATCACTTGCCCATGTGTTTGCAAGTTTGCAAGCAGCATTCATTGGTGATACCTGAGCTGTTAGAAACAAGTGCTACAGCAATGAAACATCTACATCTTTGTCAAAGGAATCCCCATTACCAAAGGGATTTTTTTTTTGCTAAATAGTAACTTTGGGGATTCTCACCAATTATACAATATTCTTGTGCTGTCATACTTTGAAGACAAAGAAAAATGGACTAAGTACACACAGAGCAGGCTTAGATTCCCTCTGTTCCTGTTATTGACCATCTTACAATCTCAGCAAATGTCTCTGTATTTATTAGTTTAAAGTACAAAAGATTTGGGTAACTACAGCTACTCAGTGTGCTCCAACTGGGAAAAAGGTATGGTTCTTCCTGTGAAGGAGCTAAGAATAGCTGCTATATTTTTCATTTCTTTTAAGTAAACAAAAGCCTGCTTATGCACACAATACTTCTGCAAAGGGTATCTTTGTGACATAAACCAACAGGTTGGAGAGCATTTTAAATACATATGGTAAGTGTATTTCAAATGTATGGTTGAAAATACAACTGCTGCCATCTAGTGATGTCCTCCTGCTACTACTACTAACAAGAATTTGACTCTTACTTTTTTCAGATCAGTATCTTCATGACTCATTTGTCAAACTACGGAAATGACCGGCTAGGTTTATATACATTTCTCAACCTGGCCAGCTTTGTTCAAACATGGACTAACCTGAAGCTGCAGACCCTCCCGCCAGTTCAGCTGGCTCGCAAGTACTTTGAGCTTTTCCCTGAGCAAAAAGACCCACTCTGGCAGGTAACCTCCCACTGAGCAAGCAGTGGGAACCCTACATTCATTTGCAATGTTGTTGCAGGGAAGACTGCTGGGGGAAAATTAGAAAAGCAATGTCTGCCAATTAAGACATTTTAATCAGTTTTAAATGGCCTGTGAGGTTCTTTTAATTTCCTTTTCAAAGTCAGCAATTTGGCCAATGAATATATTAGCTAACAGATAAGGAACTGGCTGCCACGTTACCTTCATTAGCACCTGCCTGGAGCCGGGCTGCAAATATCAGCTATTAGCTTGGTTGTTATTCACCAGAAAAGAGAGAGAGAGAGAGAGCCAAGTGGGATAAGAGAGAGATTCCCTTGTGTCTTTTATTTAGAAAATAAAAGAAGCTTCACATTACAATGTTTTGATGAACTGCAAACACCATGCCTAGAGACAGATTCAACAGACAAATAATACTATGATATAGAATCACTGGCACTGCAAATTACTGTTCAGGGCAGTTCCAAGCTATTTTTTTCCTAAGACCAAAAATTTCTTCCCTATTCGCCCTTCCTTCCATGAACATAGCTATTTTTGAACATACTATATGACCCCTGTATCCATAGGGAATACATTCACAGTACTCAGTTATACAGTTGTATTCCATTTTGATGGCTGAAAGTGAGGAGGAGCTGAGCACACAAGAAGAAAGTGCAAAAGCTGAGTTGCAGTTCAACATAAAAAACCAAGATTATGGCAACCAGACTTATTGATAACTGACAAATAGAGGGAGAAAACGTGGAGGCAGTGACAGACTTTGATTTCTAGGCGCAAAGATTACTGCAGACACAGATTGTAGCCAGGAAATCAGAAGACATTTACTTCTTGGGAGGAGAGCAATGACCAATCTTGATAAAATAGTGAAGAGTAGAGACATCACACTTGCAACAAAGGTCCACATAGTTAAATAAGTGGTATTTCCCAAAGTAACCTATGGATGTGAGAGCTCGACCATAAGGAAGGCTGAAGATAGACACTTTTGAACTGTAGTGTTGGAGGAAAATTCGGAGAGTGCCTTGGACCGCAAGAAGATCAAACCAGGCCATACTTCAGGAAATAATTCCTGACTGCTCACTGGAGGGAAAGATATTAGAGGCAAAGGTGAAGTACTTTAGCCACATAATGAGAAGACAGGAAAGCTTGGATAAGATAATGATGCTGGGGAAATGGAAGGAAAAAGGAAGAGGGGCTGACCAAGGGCAAGATGGATTATCCTTGAAGTGACTGGCTTGACCTTGAAGGAACTGGGGGTGGCAACAGCTGACAGGGAGCTCTGGTGTGGGCTGGTCCATGAGGTCATGAAGAGTCAGAAGCAACTGAACTAATAAACAACAACAAATATTGTATGGAATCCTGGCACTTGATAAAGCACTAAATTATTTCTGAGAATTCTATATACTATTTCCTAAACACCAAATCCCCAAATTCCACAGAATATATTAAAATGGATCATAGTGTTATAATCATGTAGTATGAAAGGATCCCCACAGGTGCTCTGGTTATGGCCTCTTGTTGGCTTTCACTACTGCACAGGAGATATTAATTTGTTGAGATCTATATTCTTATCATCCCTATTCCTTTCCTTGTGGTAACTGCCACAGGGCATAACTTGCCAATCCATAAGCATGTGGACAATTTCAAGAGAAAGGAGTAAACCATGAAAATGAACAAAATCTGGCTACCAGTATTTAAAAAAACTCTAAAATTACAACAGCAAAACAACAGAGAGGAAACAATCAGGGACAACTAATCACCTCTCAACAAAAGATTCCCCCAGGTACTAGCAAGCCACACCAAAAAACTGCCAGGCCATCAAATGCTAATCAAGATGGTCAGTTGAAACATTCACACCTAGATCCAGCAGACAAGGGTTCTTTGCCCCACCCTGGTCATTCCACAGATATATAAACCCATTTTCCTAGTTTCAACAGACTTCACCACCTCTGAGGATGCTTGCCATAAATGCAGGCGAAACGTCAGGAGATAATGCCTCTAGAACATGGCCATGTAGCCCGAAAAAACCTACAACAACCCAATGATTCTGGCCACGAAAGCCTTCGACAATACAAATCATACCTTGCTTGGAAATTTGAAAGTCTCTGAGCCATTTCTCCACTGGAGGTGGAGTTCCTTTTTCAATGAGTGCAGGGCATCCATTTTGCCCTGTAATCCCTCCTTAAAGTCTTCTTTTATAACAAATTCCATAAATAAAGCTACTCTTCTTCAATAAAGTTTATACTAGCAAAATATAAATCAATTTATCACAGAAACGTTTTATAGAAAAAGAGAGATTTGGGAATGCTCTTCAAGGGACAAACCATGGAACATTGCTCTCTAAAGGAATCAGCATTGTGAAGTTTAGAGGATGTCATTTGCTTTTGTGTATAAAATTGGGACTTTCTATTAATGCTGAAACTTGACAGGTCTGATTTATTTAGGTAGGAGTACAGTACCTAGAAAGGTTGTGTCGTTTAGACAGGTAATTCCAAGGCTACAGCCATTAGAAGATAAGATTATATTATCATACATTATAATACAAATTCAACTAGAAATGGAAATAAAATAAACTAACGAAAGAATAATGAAGTGAGTAGGAAAATAGCAAATAGAAATATGTGCAATGCAGCTTCGGAAAATGAAACAAAAATGGAATGAAATTAATCTTTTTTTTCAACTTCCCATCCCACATGAAGTCCAGTAGGCAGTGCTGGAGAAGATGAAACAATGGTCAGATTTGATGCGACAGCTCCTTATATACTTAAAAGGGAAATTTCACTACAATTTACATTGCTGTTAGAAAGGATTATCCACTTGCTTCAGGCCATGGTGTCTGTAGGCTGTAATAAAGCTGTTTGATCACTACCATCTGAATCTCTAGCCCACTGCATATCAGAATCCCATACAAAGGAAATTCCAGCATGATAATTCTTTTGAAGAGGCTTCTTTCATTTTCTTCTCACATTTTTATTTCTCATTAACACATAGTTGAAAGATAAATTGCTGAATAACCTCGAACTGTAATTTGTCCCCCCCCCCCCCCTTTTGTGTCTTCATGCAAATGTTGAATATTGCTAAACACTTTATATTGGAAACTTATCTGCCATGGTTTTACATTTAAGTGTGCATGCCAATTGTACTGATCGCTCCTTTTAAAGGAAGAAATGAAATCAGATGAACTGAAGCTTTATATTAATCAAACATAAAATCTAATTATATAGCACTGAGTGCAAAACTTTTCTTGCAATAATCATCTTCATGTCAGAACTGTGGGGAGAAGACCAATATCCTCACTATATACAGTGTTTGTGGTTTACAGAAAAATGGCTGTTTAGTAGGGTGCCACTGTAATGATATGGGAACCACATTTTCAGGGGTTCATAGGCAATCACATATTCCTTCCCATCAAAACAATGAGATTGCACAACCTGTAGAATCAGTCCAACTAACATAAGCAACCTTTAACCATCACATTACCATGGATAAAGCTACTATTCCACTACTGTCAGATATCCTACTACTGTCAGGTATATTGTACCATAACCCACAGTCAGAGGCGGCCCTAGGTAATTTTCAACGGTAAGCAAACAGTATGTTGGCGCCCCCACCCCACCCCCACGAATCACTAATATATATTTCCTGTTCGTCATGGGAGTTCTGTGTGCCATATTTGGTTCAATTCCATCATTGGTGAAGTTCAGAATGCTCTTTGATTGTAGGTGAACTATACATCCCAGTAACTACAACTCGCATATGTCAAGGTCTGTTTTCCCCCAAGAGCGCCTCAAGAGCACCCCTGGGCAAAATCAACTATACTGCTAATGCTTACTTTGCGTAATGTGTTGAGCCGCCCCTGCCCACAGTGTAAGTGTTGGAATAATGTGGACCTCCAAATTTTGTTAAATGGCAACTCCTTACAGGAACAGCCATTATAGCCATCATAGTTAATAATCAACTTGCTAAAAGTTGCACTTCAATCACATCTGGAAGACCACACAATTCCCACTCCTGATTCCCGAAATATGACTGAAACCCAGGAACAAAGAAAGCTGTCTTATGGATTTAAATCACTGGTTTGCCTAGACCAACAGTGCTTATACATACCAACACCAGTTCCTCACAGTTTCAGACACAGCCTTTCCCATTTCTACCTGGAGACCATGAGAATTGAACCTTGACCTTTCTATCTCTGTGTTATATATTATTACATGTGTGGATTGTGTCCAGATTTACTCACACCTTCTGAAGATCCATTGAAACCCATACAATTTAATTAATCATGAATAATATAAGTTCCATTAGTTCTACTGCAAGTATATCTTTGTGTAAATCTAATGTTATGATTTGAATCCTTTTGGTATAGTACACCAACTTCATTGGTGTGGGTGGCAGTGAAGTAAAAAGAACTCGTGGCCATTAAGAAAGTTAAACGTTTTAGAAACAGATGGAACCAGAAGATTTTGTTGTCTTTCTTTTCCCATTACTGGGTGACCCTGAAGAATATGCAATATCTAACATATTGTAAAAACAGAATTTCTACTAACATCACTATTCATTCCATTATGATCACTTTTAAATTGATAAATCTATTTATGTGCTTAATTATGTCTACTGATTAAAAAGCACACAGCTATATTCAGAGCTTTAAAATATCTAATAAAATATAAACAATAAGTTTTGGGTTCCATACTCTATTTGTTTCCAAGTTCAGTTGCTACTTCATAATTTTCAGAAATGCGGTGGGGGGGGGGGGGGGATTGGACAAGACAATATGGTTCTGCTGAGAAGTGTGGACAGAACTGATAGAGGATTGCATTAGAGGGGTTGCAATGAATGAACACTGAACTGTATGGGGAGAAGAGAAATCATAAAACCTGTCCATCATCAGCACATTGTTGCATGAATAGAACAAAGTCATGAATGGGTGCGAGAGTATAGCAGTAGGTTGATCTGAGCCAAAGGTAGTTTCTTTTAGGCAGCATTGTTTGAGTACAGTAGAATTCAGCAAACTTGTGTACATCAAATAATTACACAATTCTGACAGTAGTGTGAATAAAATTCCTTTCACCTTATCTCAAACAAGTATTGGGTTGCTTCATCTTACACTCTAAAACCAGATCTCTGTTCACATTAGATATAACTCAGGTGGCGGAGAAAGAATTCTGGCACAGTAGGAAACAACTTTTGCTACATAGGACTAGAGCAGAATATGCTCCAGAAGTAAAAAAGCTTCTTTCTTTCATTCAGAATCCATGTGATGACAGACGTCATAGGGATATCTGGTCTAGAGAGAAAACATGTGACCATCTACCAAAATTTCTTGTGATAGGACCCCAGAAAACAGGTAATCCAATATTGCATTATATTTTTTAAAAATGCATTAATCCTTGTTAGCTAAAGATAAAATATTTTGCAGGGGGTGGTTATATGAAGACTTTGTTCAGTTATAAGAGCTTTGGGGGGGGGGGGGAGAACCATAGCCAAAAAGTTTCTTTTCTCTCCTTTAACCGAATAATGTTTCACCAAGAGTGAACTGATTTGCTTTTGATGATTCTTCACTGAACTGAACTCGACAACAGATTATTCTTCTGTATATCCAGACTGTGGTTCGCTCTGCCGTTATTTAACTGCATCCATTGGTGGATGATGATGATAATCTTTATTTATACCCCACCACCATCTCCCAGAGGGACTCGGGCAGCTTACAAAGCACTCAAAGGTGCAAACATATCAAATACAAAAATTGCAAAAACAATAACTTCGTAAAACAATGACAGCCAACATAAAAATCTCATTTCACAAAACCCCCTAGTTAAAAACAGTAAAATACAGCAATAGCTACAGGTATAAAACAACAATAATCAATCTCAGTCATGTAAAGTGCTTGGTGAAATCTATGGGTCCTCATGTATATTCATTAAAGAAATCTAAATATGTTCGGAGGCTTGTTGAAAAAACGATGTCTTCAATTGTGTACAGAAGGCTTGAAGAGTGGAGGCTAGCCTGATCTCCCTCAGGAGAGCATTCCAGAGACAGTGGGCCACCACTGAGAGGGCCCTCTCTCTCGTCCCCACCAACCACACTTGAGACAGAGGCAGGACCGAGAGGAGGGCCTTCTCAGTAGATCTTAATTCCCATGCTGGTTCGTAGAAAGAGATATGGTCACAAAGATAGGATGGACCCAAAGCGTATAATACATTAATAAATTGGTTAATAAATTGATTCAAAGTCAAGACAGTTATGAACAATAGAAAAACAGTTGACGCCTGTCATCCTATGAACAGGAGGCACTTTTAATGAAGGAATTTAGAAAATATTATTCTCCCAAGAAAAGTTCTCTCTCTTATGGTGAATTTTAATTGAAGAATTTATAGCATTCACCAAAGCTGTTTTCATTTGTAAAACATCCAAAGATTAGATCAGGTAATAATCTTCATGATGAAATCACTCCCGCTGTTTCTTAAATAAATGCTTTTCTTCCCAATGTTCTGGAACTGTCTGATGTTTATAGATTTGAAGGGAAAACACTGATAAAGAGATGAGAAGCATATAATCTGGTACACAAAAGAGAGACATTCTGTCATCAAGGCAGTCTCCTGAGTAAATACAATGTGATATAAAGGCAGAAACAAAATAGTTGGCTTGATGAGAAGGAAATCAAGGGGGCAAGAAAATTGCTTTGCTAGCTATTCATCCTTGAGCCAGTACTATGAGGAAGCATTGCATTAGTAAAAGAACTAAAGTACATATTATTCTTTTGAAAAAGTGTGCAGTTTTTTTTTGGGGGGGGGGGTAAAGCTATGGTAAATGAATACAAGGAAGACATATCTGAAAAGTAGTGTCTATGCATATATTGCATAGGAATATTAAAAAGAAAAAATGGCTGCAGCATGAAATATTATCATTATGGTTACAATTCCTGCCCTTATAAAAACGAAAAGGAAAGAACAATCGACCAATCAACACCACTTCAACAGGCTCCAACCACAATTGTCTGTGGTATTTTCATTGTTTCCAACTACTCAGTTTTGTGCACTTCCTGCTCATAGATTTATTTAATCATGTACTTTGGCAGGTACTGGAAGGGAATGCCAACCAGTTGGATTGGATCTTGAAGGAAACTTTGCTCAGGTTGTCAAGGAATACTAAAGACAGCACACGTCATTCCTCTAGAAGTCTATGGCCTCTTCTACACTGCCATATAATCCAGTTCATCAAAGCAGATAATCCACATTTTCTGCTTTGAACAGGATTATATGAGTCTACATTGTAATATAATCAAATTCAAAGCAGATAATCTGGATTTTATGTAGTAGCATAGAAGAGGCTTGTCACTGACTTCCCACACATGCACCTCTTTGTTTATGGCAATTTGTCATTGCATTTCATTGTTGCAACTTTGGTCCTGTGGCATGGATCTATATCCAGTTAGGGATTAACAGGGTCTTTGTGTCCTTTAGGCTTTTGGTGGTGATCTCACTAAGGGACTTCAGAGTGCAGTTGTTGGAATTGGGCCCTGCCAAAGGGCCAGGGATTACACATTGCCCAGTTAGACAGGGACAGTCCCAATTAATCTCTGTTATCTCACTTTTTCAGATGTTTTTAAAATGCCCTGGTTTCTCTCTCCTACTACTTTTTTTTGTTTGTCCTCAGTTTACTTCCATTGGTGCAAACTAGTGCAAAAGTAATTTACATTCAATTAACTCTCCAGACAGGAGAGAAGGGAAATGAATTTTGCCCTTCCCAATTGGTTCAAGCAAAAGCCAACTATGGTTGCCTCTCCTATATAGGGGTTACTACACACAAGTGCAACACAAAGCATAAAAACAGAAGAAACATGTGAAACAAATATCACAAACTGAAATCAAATGAAAGCTTTCTTTAAAAAGAGGGTCAAAATAGAAATGAGCCTGCCTACCAAAACAATACAGAGATCAACACAGACTGTTTCAAATGAGCAATAAATCAAATAATATGAGGAGATGGGAACCAATTGGAGAAGCTGGACTGTAAATTGTGTACTGGTAAAGAGAATTACAAGCTAAGAGAATTACAAGCAAACAATTGACTAATAACTGCTATCAAACTTCAGCAAACTCACCTAAAGAAATTTCTGCAGCTAATGGAAAACAGGGGAACCAAAGAAAGATAATCCTTTTTTAAAGCATTGTGGTTGGAGCATGTTGGTGGAATTCCTGACCTGTGGAGTAAAAGTCTCCTACTTCTTTCACTCCAGTGTTTTCCTTAAATTTTTGTAAATATTTTGAAGAAATAGGATTGAAATCCAGACCTCCAATTTAACCCAACTAGCTTTGAGCTAACCTAACATACATCCATACTTTACAATAAATGCAATTTAACCCACTTTTACTGCCATGGTGCTTTCGAATTCTTTAAATTGCAGTTTTACAAGGTGTTTAATCTTCTCTTCCAAAAAGGTCTTGACCTCACCACACTACAATTCCCATGATTCCATAGCATTGTGTCATGGTTGTTTAATGACTTTATCACATTGGCTGCCAGATTCGCTACGGATTGTCACCCATGCCCCACATCACCCAGTTTCCCCTTTACCTCATCCCATGGGGGGAAGCGTCTGCCACCCAGCTTCCCGCCATTGATCCCTATGTAAGATGGGAAGCGTCCTGTGTTGCCGCCACAGTGGCATATGCCGGTTTCTCTCCATTTGTGCCATGGAGCCCCTCCAGAAGTAGTTCTATGTCATAGGACGGGAGTCAATGGACTCCATGGGGAAAATGGAGAGGAACCAGTTTATGCCTCTGATTTAAGCCTGTCTGAGGTCAAAAGTAGTGTCAAACTGCATTAATTCTAAATGTGTAGATGCACCCTCAGTCTAGCAATAATCATATTGAAAGATAGTGGATCTAACTGGTCTTTATTATTGTTATCAAAACTGGCAGTCATATCAAGTATTCTCAGTTATCTGGATGGCACTTTCACTCATAGGACTGTTATGAATACTGTATTATTTACAGTTGTTAGTTATATGCCTTTCAAAAGGGAATAATGTGTCCTGTGTATATGTGTATATATTTACATTGCAGATATTATTATGAACAAAGGTTTGAGAGCTGACAGAAGCACGTTAAAAAACACCACATTCTAAAATAAGTAAAACATATGCATAAAGTATATTCTTAGGCTGAAAAGATTTCTTAAATTCCAGGACAAAATTTCTTCTAAACATGTAGATACATTTGCTACTCAAGTCATTTGGGGCTTCATTAACTCATCAGAGAGCAAAATTTAAGTGAAAAGCTATTTGAATAAGTTATTGCTTGGATTAATGTGTAATTACATAATATTAACATATTCTTCCAAAACTGAGATTCTTTGCATCATTAGAGAATATATTTGCTACAAAGCCATTTGTAACTGCTTTATACCCATTGTCCTTTCCCAAACTATGATGTAATCCAACCTTCTGTTGTTGTCTTTTGTCCTTATAGGAACAACTGCACTTTATTTATTTCTCCTTATGCATCCCTCCATCATTAGCAATTTCCCTAGTCCAAAAACCTTTGAAGAAGTTCAGTTCTTTAATGGAAACAACTATAACAAGGGAATAGACTGGTAAGAATAACAAAAAAAAAAGTTCATTGTTAGCATATGCTAAACCACAGAGGAGCAATTATAGAAGTATTTCTGACACCTACATAATTTCTAGATGAATTTTCTGTACATGGTTCTGCAACAATGAATTAGAAATTAGTCTGTTCTGTTGAAATGTTTTTCAGAACATTGTTCTTTTTTCTTCTTGTTTGACGTTACAATACCAATATTTATGTCTACCACAAACAAATGCTATTCCCTCTCTCTTGTTGGCTTAATTTGTTTTTAATTAGCTGTTTAGATAAGTTATGCATTACTACCTGTAGCCAGGAGAAAGGTAAATTTCAGGTTGGCAATCATCAGGAAAGGGAATAAAAGCGAAACAGAAGTATGATAACATTCTAAATTGTAATCCAGAAAAACACTCACCCAATGCATTTAGTTGCTTTAAACTAAAATTAAAATAATGCCATTTCTTATCCCTTCTACTAAAGCTGGTTGGATCTTTCTTTAAGGCATGTGAAAGATGCATCTAAAGGCAGCATGACCAGCTCCAACCAATTGCTGATACCTCCCAGCATCAGTTGCCTCAATGGGACTAAAAATAGAGTGACTCTACTGCATACCCTCCAAGTGTCCTGCTTTAGCAGTGACAGTCCTGATTAATCCTTTGTCATCCTGTTTTTCAACTGCTTTTAAAATGCCTCAATTGCTGTCTCTTCCCCCATCTTTCTTCCTTTATCTTCAGCTTGTATCAATTGATGAAAACTATGAGTTTAACTATGGAACGTTAAGGGAACACATTGGTCCTAAAGAAAACCTTGGAGGGCTACACCTGCCACATGAACCAAAAAAAGACATATACATATGATCCAAAATTAGAAGTAATTATTTTAAAATTACCAAACACTTGAAATTTATTTTCAGTAACAAAGGTAATATTACTATATTAACAAGAAATGTCATTCCTTGTGCAGTGTGTATTTTACAGTATAGACAGACAGACAGAAAGATAGAAATCCAATGACATTCAGCTAAAAAGCATTTGCTTGGTGGGACACTTTTTCTTTTTAGAGTCTGGACAACTTGTACAAATTCTTGCAGAAATAGAAGGTGAACAAGTCAGGCATTGTTAGGTGATCTGCATCTATTTATTCCCTTTCCAAATTCAAACCAATTAGTCAAAAAGAGAAAAGAGGTACCTGCAAACAAATCTGATGATACCTAAGGCATAGATAGCAAAGCTCTTGTCCTTCAGATGCCACTGCCATTCTGAAGCAGTCCTAGTAGGCTGCCAAATGTCAAGAACCAAGGGCCTCATCATATGGAGGTCCAGAAGTCTGGGGACAGTGGGGGACAGCACAGGAAACAGTGGAGCGGTGCCCAGCTTTGCCCCTTACCATTGTGGCTTGTGGGCTGCCATTCCATGACATTTCCATGCTGTCCTCTTCTTCAATGAGAAAATGGATACTTACCCAACTCCTCTGAGCTCCCTGTTAGCACGTTGCTGGCACGGAGCCCAACCGAGCCATTTGATAGGCTCTGGCAGACTCTGTGTCAGCAACATGCCATAACAAGGCCTACCACCCCTCTGATGAGGTCGCAAGCTAAAATTTTGCAGTATATGAGCAACTAAATTTTTTACATTCCTGAATTACACCGGTTGAAACTCAAATGAAGATTATAGTCTTTATTGGTTCAACAATGCATATCTTTTATCTCTCCCCCCCCCCCTTTGACTCTCACACATACACATATACACATATAGGTTTAGAAGTGTTAAATGTTTGCTTTGGCAAGCAGAGAGAAAGAAGACTTGTTTGAATTTATGTTGCTATTGTTGTTTTACTTGTAGGTACATGAGCTTCTTTCCTACTCCTTCCAACATCACCACTGATATCTTGTTTGAGAAAAGTGCCAACTATTTTCATTCAGAGGATGCCCCCAAACGGGCTGTCTCCTTGATCCCCAAAGCAAAAATCATCACAATTCTCATTGATCCATCAGACCGAGCATATTCCTGGTATCAGGTATAGTAAAAAAAAGAACATGAGATGACTACTGTGAAATACCAAAACCATATCCATTATTTGATCGGTGGTAGATGGTTTCTGGTGGTTTATTATTCCAGGCAATGTAATCACCATATAAAGAGGCTATATGGAGAAGCTAATTAACATAATTCTTTCTCTGCTAATATTAACATTTTTTTATTAGTAGCTCATAGGAAAGCATAAAAATCATTTGTATTGTTATTACAATAAAATGGAAATTAAATCTCAGATACTTTGATCTGGTATTAGACTCTCATACTAGTGCATTAATCTATTGAGATCTATTTCTCTGATACAACAGTAGTATGTTCACAGTCCAAGTAAGTAGACTCAGACTCAGAATATGGAATGTGGTACCCCATGCTTTGACTGTATAGCACTAAAAGGCCCAGTGAACCACAGAGAAGTAGAAATGGGCTTCCTAAGTTCAAACATGATGTCCACCTTCAACCTACGGTACATGCCACTTTAGACTCTATCTAAAAGATGCTGTTGTTACGGATTTTCTTGCCAAGAGCAAGATTAAGCAAGGTTTCATTTGCAGGATAGGACTATAGTCATCTAATTTGGAATTTATCAAGACACAAATCTGAGTACATAGATTTCTGTTTTTCAGTATGCTGTGACAGTACCCATATTAATCAATTTTAGAAAAAATAATGAAGAGCCTTGTTTCACCCTCACTTTAAGAATGAAATATATTATGCCATTCTTACTCAGTTACGGATTCATGACAGGCATAAGGGTTCATAGACCAGAGGCCATTTAATCAGAATGTCATTCTGAGTTTACGAACGTTTATATTTGTGTCTGTGTATCTTTGTGAATGTATCCATTTCCTTCAATAGCACCAACGTTCTCATGAGGATTCTGCTGCTCTTAAATTCAATTTCTATGAAGTGATTACTTCAGATGACTTGGCACACTCAGAGCTAAAGATTCTACAAAAAAGATGTTTAATTCCTGGCTGGTATGCGATCCATATAGAGAGATGGCTAAAATACTTTCCCACTTCCCAGGTAATTTCATCTTATCAAGTATTTTCCTGCTGTGATAAATGATCATCATAACTTGGTAGCATGTTTAATATTGTAACATGTTTAATAATGGATTGTAATGTTATAACGTGTTTAATAATGGATTGATAAACTCGAGTATGCATTTTATGCCTTGCCTTGAAAGCCAAAGCACTTCAGTGGAGAGATGCATTTGTTTTCAGTACTAACGTGCGAGATTATTTTAGGAAATACTGCGGAAAATCCCTTGACACCTAAAAATGAGAGGTTTCTACTGAAGAAAGTGCTATTTTTTAAAGTGATCCTGATACTTAGATTTTTTCCTCTCCTACCCTTGTTTTCTTTGGCATAATTATTTGTTTGAGAGCTGTTCTTATAAGAGTTTTGGGCATGGAAAACATCACTCAAAGAAGAAAGATATCCCAGTATCTAGTCTGTGTTCAAACAGAGGATGGGATTCCATGAACCCAGGACTCCATTCAGACCGCTGAAAAGTATCTACTAGCTACACCATTCCTTTTTCTTACAGTTCTCCAGCTGGTTGAATTCATTTTACAAGAATGGAGACAGTGAACATTTGACCAAATATACTGAAGTGTAGTTGTTGTGCACCCATAATTAATAATGTGCACTCAAAATTTCAATAATTCAAACTAAGATCTCTCAGGAGCAATATCCAGCATGGAAACATTAAAAGCAGCCTACAGTTTCTTAGCAGATGCAGGAATTCTGGTTTAGTCATGTTGTTTTTGTCAGCTAAAAGCAGAGGACTCTAATACAAGGACCAAACTAATTGTAATTGGCATAACCTATATGTAAAAAGATAATAGAATAAGCTGCCACTTCTCTTGAAAATACTGTGGATTTTACTTGTTTACTAGCATTGACAAAGTGTCAGAGAGGCCAGTGCCCCCTGCTTTCATCCCTTCTTTCACTTTCTTTTCTCCTCCTCCCTCATATCTTTTTCCCTATCCTTTCTCTTCCTTCCCTCCTTTTTCTTTCTCCCCCTCTCCTTCCCTTCCTTCTCCTTCCCTTTCTTTCCCTTTTTTTCTCTTTCTTTCTTTCCTTCTTTCTCCCTCCCTTCCCCTCCCGTCTTTCTTTTTCTCTTTCCCTCGCAATACATTTCCTCCTTTTATTTCTCTTCCTTCTTTGCCTCTTGTTTTTCTCTTCCTTGTTCCCTCCCTTGTCTCTTCCTTCTATTTCCTTCCTTCTTCTCTTCTTTCTCTCTTCTCCAGCTCTAAGAGGGCCTGCCTCACAATGTTTCCATAGCAAAATGGCTCTCTTGGGTCCCTTCCACATAGCTGCATACAATTCACATTGAACTGGATTATATGGCAGTGTGGAGTCTTTCTTTCCTTCTTTCTCCCTCCCTTCCCCTCCCCTGTCTTTCTTTTTCTCTTTCCCTCGCAATACATTTCCTCCTTTTATTTCTCTTCCTTCTTTACCTCTTTTGTTTTTCTCTTCCTTGTTCCCTCCCTTGTCTCTTCCTTCTCTTTCCTTCCTTCTTCTCTTCTTTCTCTCTTCTCCAGCTCTAAAAGGGCCTGCCTCACAATGTTTCCATAGCAAAATGGCTCTCTTGGGTCCCTTCCACATAGCTGCATAAAATTCACATTGAACTGGATTATATGGCAGTGTGGAGTCAGATAATCCAGTTCAGAGCAGATACTGTGGATTACCTGCCTTGAGTTAAATGGCTGTATTTAGATAGATAGATAGATAGATAGATAGATAGATAGATAGATAGATGGATGGATGGATGGATGGGTGGGTGGGTGGGTGGGTGGGTGGGTGGGTGGGTGGGTGGGTGGGTGCGTGGGCGGGCGGGTGGGCGGGCGGGCAGACAGACAGACAACTATTGAGCTGTCTCACTGGAATCACTCCTACCTACCATGCCTATGAAGGCACTGAAATAGAAATCCCGCCCCCCGCCCCCCAATATTAGTGCTAAGGTCAGGAAGTATATAATTCAATGTTGTTGTGTATTTTTACAAAAGGCTACAATGAACTGTCTCTGCCATTACCCTCCATTGCACTGTTCAGTAGTCACATTACAATGTATTTCACATGATTTTGCTTTTACGCCTTGCAAATTGTGATAGTTAGTGTTTTTGTCTCTTCTGATATAATTGTACTCTGCAGTCAGTCAAGCTAAAAATAGGAATGTGGAAAAACATAACTATTTATTCACTTGACTTGATGCATGCTTCTGAAATATTTTGGATCAGTTTCTGTTGCCAATTACTGTCAGAACAGACAGAAAAACTTACTGCAGGATTATATCAAATACAATGATCATAGTGCATTATAACAGCTACATATATACCATGCTATAGCAAAGAGGATTTCATGGCAAACTGGTCTTTAAAAACCAATTGTTCTATGTTATATCACACATTGTGCATTATAATTATGCCCGTTTGCCTATACAGTTGCTAATTATTGATGGACAGCAGCTAAGAAGTGACCCTGCTAGTATCATGGATGAAGTTCAAAAGTTTCTGGGAGTTTCTCCACATTATAATTACTCTGAAGCCCTAACGTGAGTTCCTTTTACCTACACTATCCTTCTCAATCATTATATATATTCTATATTTTGTACTTCACAAGTCATTTTAACTGTATAATGTTTGCTTGTTTTTCTAATGGTATTTTTAATTGTTTTGTAGTGGTTTCAATATTCCGTTTGTTTTTAAAGAAATTAGTGAAATCAAATGCTTTCTCTGATGGAAAGGTAGGATAGAAGTACAATAAATAAAAACAGGAAAAGGGTTTTGTCAAAAATTGTGTCTTTATTTACTGGGTTTCTTCATGTACTGGATTTATTCTTCTGATCATGAACTGGAAATTATGAGCCTACAAATTAAGTGTTTGGATGGCATCTCCCATTATTATTTAACATTGCCTATGAGGGTTAGGGCTGATGGGTGTTCAAGTACAAGGAGTAGAGATATATATATGCTTGATTATTGCATCTTTAAATGTGCCTGTGAATAATTTCCTCCATGTACAGGGGGGAAAAACATAGATGGGGAGCATAGCAGGACATAGACTGGTGGGCTTGGTGCAAAAAAAAAAACCTTAGAAATTTTCCAAGGAAAATTATATATTTTGAGAAAATGTTTGTGTGAATACATGACAAAACTGCAAAACTTTGATATCTGTCATAAACTATACACAACAACAACAACAACAACAACAACAACAACTTTATTTTTGTACCCTGCCTCCATCTCCCCGAAGGGACTTGGGCGGCTTCCATGGGGATGTAAATACACAGTATTTACTCCTAATCCAGAATAATAAATCCACTGCAATTTACTTTTGTTTCATACATTCTGGTTATTTTTTTAAACTAATTCAAATATGCTCAAGGAAAAAACACATTTTGTTTAAACAGATATATTGTTCAGACCATCAGTCTACAGCTTTATGCATACAGCAATATTGCTTCTCCTCTTGGGAAATTACCGAAAGCCAGCAAAACTACTTTACTATGCAAAAAAGAGATTGGGAAATCCATGCTAGAAATGAATCTTTTTCTTAAAGTATCCATTTAATAAATGATTTATTTAATTTTAATTGATACCTTTATGAAGGGTGATTAGAAGGCTGTGGATTAGAACAGTAATAGACTGAGACAGAAAAGAAATCCCTCTTTGTCTCAAATGTGCTCAAATATGTGTGTATATATGCAGTGCTATTAACAGAATAAGCCCAGGGTGTGTGTGTGTGTGTTAATTACTGTAATACTCTAACTAGTAATATTTCAGCTTTTTCAAATTCTGGCATTTGCCAAATAGAATGCATACCTTCCAATGAAAAATGATTCAATATTTCAGCACTGTTTTATACACCACCTGAATCCCCAAACAATATTTTAAAATTAAGCATAGTCATTAATTCATTATATTAAAAACAACTATGATTTTAGGGTGTGTTTAAATAATTATTAGTGTATCTTTATCAATGTGGATCAGGATACGGCTTTTTTAAACAGGCAAGTTAACACTGTTGCTTTAGCTTTGCCCCTTGCCCACAAATTGCTCTGCAGAGGTCTTATTTTAATTTAGGATAATTTTTTAGGTTTGATCCTCAGAAAGGATTTTGGTGTCAGCTGCTTGAGAGTGGAAAGACAAAGTGTCTGGGCAAAAGCAAAGGCCGGAAATATCCACCAATGGATCAAGAGGTACATTTTTCCATGTATCTAACCTTGTAATTGAAACTACACTGTGATAGTGAAAAACTGCAAATAAAGAAATGGCTCCTTTTTATATCAGATAAAAGTGACTAGGAATGTCCAGGGGTGCTTCCAGACATGGGGAAAGCCCAAGCCGAAGTGGGTTTAAAAAATCCACTTTGCTGTGAGTTTTTGTCTTCACCTTTAAAGATTTGGGGGGGGGGGGTGGATGGGAGATGCCCTCCTCAGTTCTCTGGGCTTATGGGGCCCAAAGAACCAAGATGGGCTGTGGGGACTAACCCCTGGGTAGTCGCAAGACTACCCAGTAGTCCGTCCCCGCAAGGCCTATATCCCATTATACCCGGGCCTTTCAGGAAGGCCTGGATCTAATGGGGTATCTATCATATTTATTTGGGATAAAGCAAGGTTTATCTGCTTTGTCCCAAATTAATCCTCTTTTACCGAAGGCATTGTTTGTTTTTTTCCCATTAAAGCTGTCCCTCCAAGTTTGTGGTTTTGGCTTTTGCAGATTTGTTTGGCTAAAAATGTTCCCTGTAAAAGTCCAACGGAACCTTCATTTTAGGCCCTGTCTGGAAGGGCCCTAGGGCTTCCAATATGACCCTATAGTTGATGCCAACTGGAAGCTAGCTATCGAATTGCATTGGAGGGCTTAGAGATTCCCAGAGAGGTGTTCTATTTAGAAATATATAGCCAGATCCTGGAAGAAATTAACCATAGGCTCACAATGGAGAACCTAGAGATTCCTAGAAGGAAAATTTTTGGCTAAATACTGACCCCTCTACTAAATCTGCTTTATACTGCTCCTGGCTTTTTTGCATGGTTGGGCAGGAAATGGTGGTGAGAGCTCTCTAGCTCTTCCCCTTAAAGCAGTATGTGGTTTGGGGGCGGGGGGGCGGGCAGTGCTTCTTTCAGATTGGATTTATCTTCCACCTTTTACCACTCTACTCAGAGAAGGGAACAATTCCTTTTTAAATAAAAATTAATATTATACCTTAACTTTTATTAAAACCAAAAAGGAACCACAGCCTTCTCTGAGGCCCCATCTACACTCCCATATAATCCAGATTATCTGCTTTAAACTGGATTATATAACAGTGTAGACTCATATAATCTGGTTGAAAGCAGTTAATCTGGATTCAGAAACTGAATTATACAGTCAGTGTAGATGGGGCCTGAGTGGTGAAAAATCTTTGTGAATGCCCGGGCAAGAAAATGATGATGACAGTGATCAGGGGTGGCTGAGCCCCTAAAGTGGCACTGGCATTTCACCTTTCTGCAGATTGACCATCAACTTTTCCATGGGTCACATCAAAATCCATAATTTAGCCCCCAAATCTGTCCTTAACTTACATATGTGGTTGTCTCATACACAAATATATATGGCAATCATGATTAGGCCTCCTTTTTATAGATGGAGCATAAGAATTCTAGTTTTGATCCGGTCATGTTGGCACTAAGAGGTTAACATTTTCACACTCCAAACTGCTGTTTCCGTTTCTTTTAACTGTGATTTTTCTTCAGGGTCAACACACTGCATTACCATGGCATGGGAACATGTCTATCCAATATCCTTAAGTATTCTAGGAGAAACAAAGTAACTAATTTCATAAGAAATGCATTTTATTTTAAAAGAACTAGGGTTTACAAAGAATCATATTCAGGTATGATTAGTATGATGATCATTGTACTTTCAGCACTCCTATCCAGTATTGTACTCATGATGTTTAAAACGTTACACTATTTAATGAATGCATATAAATTGCCATATTCTTTCAGAACCTAAAAAAGATTCCATCATGGGATTTTATAGATAAATATCTTGATACAGGAGTGTCCACTGTTATTAATTATACCTGACAGTTTCTTTATTTCCTTCGCCTTCAGTCTAGGGCATTCCTTTCAAACTACTACAGAGATCACAACGTGGAACTTTCCAAATTGCTACACAGACTTGGACAACCTTTGCCATCCTGGCTAAGACAAGAGCTTCAGAAACTGAGATAGCACCAAGAAGAGACTGTACCTCATCCTGTTTCCTTCACTGTACCACCCTTTGCTTTACTGATGGATTTTCAGTTGTAAAAGACCACATTAATAATTCTTCCTCAAAATTAATAAAATAAGAAATAAAGCCACACAGCAAAAGGAGGCAGGAAAGCTATAAATGTATGTGTGCTATCAGCTTTTGGGTCTAGAAAAAACATTCGAGCTATGAGGAATTGTTCTTTATCTTGTCTGGGACTCACACATATTCCAGTCACCGGAAAAGTCACAGAAATTGTGTTTATGATCGATACTCTTCATTATATATGACAAATTACAGTCTGTCAAGACACAAGCAAAAGGATAGAAACATCTCTCAGAGGATTGTGAGGTTTGTAATTTCCTTGACAACTGCCGTTTTAGTCAGCTTTCTGTCCCATCCTTCCTTTGTTATTTTAGAACTGATCTTAAAGATACCTGGATTGCCGCCCATCAAGAAAAATAAATGTAGTTATATTATCCAAAAATCTTTCCTTTGGAGGAACATTTGCTTGCTGCATGCCCATTTATTTCATTCTTCTTTCTTAATGATACAGACAGAAAAGAGCACAATACATGGCCCAAGAAATTCAGTTACACATGCACACTGGTTACTCTCCTTTGGTTTAGGTATACTGTAAAACCATTTTACTTCAAGCTTCTATGAGAAAAATATATTCCAACAATTATAAAAGATTGCCTTGGTGTATCAGCACAGCAAATTACTGTTCAAGACTGTAGCTTTACAGTAATCACTTTTATTTTTTTCTCCAAACAAGTACATGGCACTTGAAAGCTGCCAGGTCTTGTATAATTATCAACAAAGGGACAATGTGGTTTTCACCATACAGTAGTAGTGGTTAATGTGTGGTGCTCCAGAAGCTATAGCAACTCCAGACATCCCCAACTATGCTGATTAAGGGCAGCATAAATGAGAACTACATGCTGATTACACTGTCATAGAACCACAACTCTTTCTTACTTTTTGGTAATAATACAAATGACTTTGCCTGTGTGGTTAGCCACACAGCACAGGCAGTGTAATATATAGGAACAATTGCCACATCAAGTGACTTCCAAAACCCTTCATAGGTTGACCATATTTGTGCATTTCTGCATGGATCCTTATTTTCATCCCTGTTGTATGGCATTTGATCTATTGTGATCTCACTTCTGATAAAGCCACCTGCATTTCTACATGTGAAAGCCTTGCACTAGTTGTCAATTCTTAAAGGTATGTCTGATGTTTCCAGTCAAGATAGCACCTAAATAGCAAACAAAACAATTTGAATTCACTTAAAAATTGGTTTCATATGGCTCCCTTCAAGAGCCACCAGAAGAGATCCTGATGTTCTGCAGATCTCACAACAATTTTGTAGTAAAACCCACACATAACTCAAAAAGAAGCCCCTGTGACAGATAGTAAATATACACAATCAGTTGAAGGTTGGAATCATGTTTGCTAGTCCCAACTAGAGAAGACAGCTTCCATCAGTGTTTGAATGGACAGTCAACACATAGACAAATCCAAAGTTTGGATCTTGTGGGATTTAATATAAAGAACATGAGCATCCCAAAATTATGTTGGAAAGCATGAATTAAACTGGGGAAAGTTCAGTTGTTGCTGTTTTGAAGGATTGAAATAGGCAGAGCTTGGAATACCATTGTGTATGCATTTTCAAAATCATTATTCCTTAGAGAATATGAACAACATGATTTATGTTGTACTAGCTGTCCCCGGCCACGCGTTGCTGTGGCCCAGTCTGGTGATCTGCAAAATAAAGTAATGAGAAAGTGATGGTTTCTAATATATGTAATTTCTTTATGCTTGAGGGTAAACAGTATTTCTTGTTGTTTCTTTGTCAGTGTTGATGTAGAGATTGTCTAGTTTGCCTACTCTGGATCATGGAACATATTATTGTCCTTCTTTAGGGGTCCCTTTCAAATCTATATCTCTCTGTGTGTGAATCATATCTATTAGGCCTGGGTAACAACGGAAAAAATTGTTTCTAAAATCGATTCGTTTTTTGGGGGGTTTTGCGTTTCGATATTTAAAAGAATTCCGAAATTTTTCTTTTAAAAAGTTCGATATTTACGAAATTTCGTAAATGTAAAAAAAATTACGAAACATTAACGAAACAAATACGAAACAATAACGAATCGATTCGTTAATGGCGGACGCGACTGCGCAATACGCTAAAAAACCTCCAAATGGGACAGGGGGAACTTCTGAAGCTTCCCTCTCCCTCTGTTGTTGACTGTTGGTGTGATATTATAATTTTTTTTCACTAATTAAACAAAAAACAACTATAAAACTTGCCCAGACATGCGGAAATAATAACGAAACGACCTCAAACCGATAACGAAACGAATACATAACGAATCCGAAGCATTTACGAAACGAATTTAAAAATTCGTTTCGTTTTTAAGTTGCTCCAGAATGGTTCGTTATCGCTTCGTTATAAAAATAACGAATTTTTAACGAATTACGAATTAACGAAACGAAACCGCCCAGCCCTAATATCTATCTATCTACATTGGTGACTGGATGGCTTTTTGTCAGGAGGGCTCTGATTACATTTTCTTGCCCTGGTGAAGAGAGTTGGACTGGATGGCTTTAAGTATTTTCTGTTGGTCATGGGGATTCTGTGTGGGAAATTGGCCCCAATTCTGCTGTTTGTGGGATTCAGAATGCTCTTTAATTGTAGGTGAACTACAATTCACCTACATTTAGGTACTGCTTAAGCAGTGAAACTTACTGGAAATATTGTACATTCTCTGTAGCTCTTAGTTATTAGTCACTTTTCCAACCACAGAAGAAAATATCAGAAAATTTATCATATTAAGCATTAGTAGTACTGTTTGGGGAGGATAAAATCTTATTAAATAGTTTGTAATAATGTCATCCAACACCCAAAGCAATAATCAAACAGGCTGAAATATAGCCAAAGCCTCAGACCCATTTGCTGACAATCTAACATCTTAATTTTGGGCCATTTGTGAGTTATGCTTGGAGGCAAATATTTGTCTCCAGTGAAATTTCTTGATATCAGTTCAGTTTTGTGACCTGATATAGTAATAACACATAACTAATAACATTTTTTCTTATAATAAGCCCGCAATTCTCAAAACAAAGTAAATCCATGAAACTTCTGGGAAGTTATATCCATGAATGTACTTTGTATCAAGTTTGTATAGAATCTGTAAATGAAGCTAATGAATGAATAATATGTATTAACAATATATGTCTTTTCATATCTCATTATCAATGTGTTTTGGATGTAATCATTCAGAAATGTCATAGATGGGTAGATAAATCCAGTGCAAAGGAAAGTGCTTAAGCTGGTAACCTGAAATAAAATGAGGACAGGGAGTGAGAGAAAAACCTCTGTGGCAACCCCATTCAACACGTTACCAGTAGAACCACCCAAAAATACAGAAGAAACTGAGAAAATGAATATAGACATAGGAATTTGTATCTCCGTATGTCAAAAATTCCCAAGATGGGAAACAAACAAACATCTATCCATCCAGCAAGTCTCAGAAATTCATGAAGAAAAACTAGAAAAAATGCCTATCTATCTATCTATCTATCTATCTATCTATCTATCTATCTATCTATAAACAGCCAATGAGTACTGATATAACTTCTTCCAAATCCCAAGATTTTTGGCCAGTCAACAAAGCAGGTCAGAAAATGTTTCCAATTGTGATGCCCCAACTAAAATACATTTCCCATGGAGGTTTGACTGAAATTAGCACTGGGCCAATTAGTTGGGCTAAGACCCTCATGGACACCCACTAGATGATTTTTGTCATGTTTCCTTCCCTTGGACCAAGAGAAGGACAATGGAAAAAATCCTCTGAATAAATCTTACCAAGAAAGTCCTAGGACAGGGTCCCCACAAGCTGAAGTTGACTTTAAGGCACGAAACAACAACTTCAAATCTTGATTTCAATTGACTGATTTAGAGAATATGCATAATACACAACAATAGTAGTTCGATGCCACTTTGTCATAGCTCCCTATGGAATTCTGGGACTTGCAGTTTGGCAAGGGATACTTTGGGTTTTCTGCTGTGACTATCTCCTTGCTAGTCATGCGGACACCTCATTCTGACATTAGTAGATGCAATAGTATGAACAAATTCTTGAATGGGGCTCTGTGATCAGTGTCAACAAAAAGAAAACCATTATCTTCCTTCTCAATGATAAATGCATGGAAAGGCTGATGGTAGTGCTGCCTAGTATAGACAGGATTGGATCATAATAGATCCAATGCAGCTGTCCAGACTGCTGCAAAGCCTTGTGATAGTCCAAATTTTCCTGTAAACTCTGAAGTCCTCCAACTCTGCTGAAAGCAAGAGATACCCAGGTTAAGGCAACAAAAAGCAGGATACTCACCAGAATCCTTTTGGATCATGGAGAGAGTTAGTGTTCAATTCTGAGAGTCTATGTTAGTTTAGCCTTACCTTAAGTTACAACTCTTTGCATTCTCATGGAATGCAAGTTCCCATATTTCTTTGGGAAGGGCCAGTTAAAGTGCTATTGATTTAATAAATTGTTCTACAGAAAATATATAATAAAAAACCAAAATTATCTATATATGTGTAACCGTCTTCTTTTTCTTTTCATCTAGTGCATCCTTTCCATGCAGTTTTCTAAAATATGGATCCAAGGACTGGATGCTCTCCATCACTCCTGCATCCCCAACTATGAATAAAGATTCATAAATGACATAAACTCTTACATCTGCCAAGTTGCAAGGACTGTTTTTTTAAAAGATATAGCTATAGAAAACGTAATCATCCCATTGAAAATGATTTCAATATACACTTTGATGTTAACTGCCTTGAAAATGAATTGTTTTCTATCTAACTGTTGCAAATCCCATTTGCCTGGATATATACTTGATTCAAGAACTGAAGGGGACATAACTTCCAATCCCTCTGGAGTATTTTTAGTTTATTTGGGAATTTGTTTAGGGAATGGACACAAAATTGTAAATACATTGTATTTTTCTCACTTCTACAGAATAAAATTTTCTGCTGCACTATTCTAGGACTTAGCCTCTCATTCTTTCCTTGAGATTTCTGGATGTCTTCCTTTTGAGCCTCCAGAGCCCACGCACACCCCTTTTTGTGGTCATTGCTTTTAGATTTTAAGCTACTGACAAATCTTGAACAGTTCAAGATATATGGGTTCTTCTTCCCATAAGTAGTGTTTGCCAACTAATGTGCTGTCTAAAGTATAAGTTATAGGATTTTTTTCACCCAGAGCATTATGTAAATAAGAATTTGCCTCTGCTTTCATCTTTGCAGCTATTATACAGGAAATCTTAACATAAACAAGTATAGAATCTTAGAGTTGGAAGAGACCTCATGGGCCATCCAGTCCAAACCCCTACCAAGAAGCAGGAAAATTGCATTCAAAGCACTCCCCGACAAATGACCATCCATCCTCTGTATAAAAGCCTCCAAAAAAGGAGCCTCCACCACACTCTGGGGTTGAGAGTTCCACTGCTGAACAGTTCTCACAGTTAGGAAGTTCTTCCTCATGTTCAGGTGGAATCTCCTTTCTTGTAGTTTGAAGCCATTGTTCCACATCCTAGTCTCCAGGGCGACAGAAAACAAGCTTGCTCTCTCCTCCCTATGACTTCCTCTCACATATTTATACATGGCTATCATGTCTCCTCTCAGCTTTCTCTTCTTCAGGCTAAATATGCCCAGCTCTTTAAGCCACTCCTCACAGGGCTTGTTCTTCAGACCCTTGATCATTTTAGTCACCCTCCTCTGGACACATTCCAGCTTGTCAACATCTCCCTTCATTAATGTTCACTAACAGCACAGTGTTTTAATGGTTTGTAGAGATGAATGATTATATTAGTGGCCTTCAGGGAAACATCTTGCAAGTCTCAGTTCAAACGTACACAGAAGCAATGCACAGTATAAGTCAGGATCAATCCTACAATTATAAGTATAGTAGAGTCTCTCTTATCCGACATAAATGGGCTGGCAGAACATTGGGTAAGCAAAAATGTTGGATAATAAGGAGGGATTAAGGAAGAGCCTATTAAATGTCATTACATTATGATTTTACAAATTAAACAGCAAAACATGTTTTACAACCAATTGACAGAAAAGGAAGTTCAATACATGGTAATGTTATGTAGTAATTACTGTATTTATAAATTTAGCACCAAAACATTGCAATGTATTGAAACAGTTGTGAATCTGGGTGGGAGGCAGACTGCATTGGATAATACAGAACATTGGATGAGAGAAGGTTGGCTAGGCGAGTCTCTACTGTAGAGTGAAGCAACCATCATAGGCTCATAAATGCTATTGCTTTCTGTAAAACTTTAAAATGGGGGGGGGGGGCAGTTGTGCTACAAATCCCAGAATAATTAAGTCATCATGGCCACTGGTTCATGGGTTTTGTGATCCAAAAGCAAGTTTTCCAAGTTGTCTGTGTTCACTTAGAGTTCCTTCGGATAGCCCAATAATTCTGGTAAACATCAAACTATTCTAATCCTGGATGACATTCCTCCTAACAATTATTTCCACTATCTCATCTAGTTGTGCACCAAATATACTGGGGTGTCATCTACTTTTTCCTTCTTGAGATGTTGTGTGGATGGGAGTCCCGCCCCCATCATACCTTACTTAAACTCTATACTTCTCTCCCAGTATCCACATCATCTGTTTCACACATTTAATGCTTTTAAAATGCCATAGTTATAGTTTTTGTTTGTTTGTTTGTTTTTGTTGTGTCAGGAGCGACTTGAGAAACTGCAAGTCACTTCTGGTGTGAGAGAATTGGCCGTCTGCAAGGATGTTACCCAGGGGATGCCTGGATGATTTTGATGTTTTTATCATTCTTGTGGGAGGCTTCTCTCATTTCCCCGCATGAGGAGCTGGAGATGATAGAGGGAGCTCATCCGCCTCTCCCCGGATTCGAACCTGCAACCTGTCGGTCTTTAGTCCTGCCAGCACAGGGGTTTAACCCACTGCGTCACAGGGGGATCATAGTTATAGTGCTAAGATGCTATATCACTTTAGCATTATGACTGTAAAGTAAAGGGGTGGAGGAGGAGAAACATTCAATCTAGCAATTGGAAATGTAATGTGGGAAGAAGTGCCAGCGGGCAAACTCTGGGAAAAATCACATTCCCATGCAGCATTTCACCAGCAGGCTGCCCAGAAACAGGGAAAGATATCAGAGAATCCATACAAGCATTAACTTCTTCTTCTTCTTCTTCTTCTTCTTCTTCTTTTTTGCTGATTACCTTCAAGTTGTTTCTTGATATCCCTAAAATTAATCTGTTGCAGGGTTTTCTAGGCAAGATTTGTTTAGATAAGGTTTGCCATGGTTTCCTTCTGAGACACTGTAACTTATTAATGGTTACTCAGTGTGTATTCATAAATGGAGATTTGAATCCTGGTCTTCTGAGAAGTAGCCTAATGTTCAAGCCACTGCACCACACTAACCCTCCCTGCCTATATCAAAAACTTAGGAACAAGCTGGGGGGGGGGAGTAAAAAGTTGCAGTGAGACCCCCCCCCCCAAAAAAAAATATCCATGAGAAATGTATTAGGACAGAATGTGCATCATACTGATTTTATTTTTAAAAAGTCCAATAAGTGCCATTTCCAGCACATACCAAGACATTTGGCCAGTCTGAACAAACACTGAGCCTTTTGTTTGTGTGACTCCATTACTCATCAATCCAGCAACAATTGATAGTTACTTTCCCAAACAGTTTTCTTCCATCTCCCTTCCTTCCCTTCCCTCCACTTGAGATTTTCAAAATGTCAAAAGCACACTGAGCAAATCTTCAACCACCCAAGAGTCATTCTCTGTGTTCCTATGACCTTTTTCTCCTCTCATATAGAACTTTCTATAGTAGTATGAAGTATTATTGCTATTATTAGCTGTGCTAAGCACTCAGTTGACCATTTGCCCTTCATCCTGCCCCTTCCTAGAGTCAGATCTCACTGCCTGGTCCTTTAGGAAACTGAACTTTATGTGTACTGCTGCTATTTTTATTATGTACTTAAAATCAAAACAGTGAGATGCTTTGTCGCAACAACTCAAACAATCTTTTTGTCTCCTTGCTTCTGAATAATTGTTGTAATCTGGGGAAAAAATTGGGAGATTGTGGTGAGATAGTACATCGAGGTAGAGAACATGTTACCAGCATTATTTTATCCTAGCTAGATCTGAAGGGAATTGCAGCCTGGGAACAACTGGAGGATGACACCTTTCTCCACTCCAGTAGAACAACATAAACTCTATTAGCAGTCAACAACATGATTGCTTCTTTTGGTAACCCCAGATGAAACAACCGTTGTTGATTATTAATATCATTTCTGTTGTCAAACACTTGATGTTCTACAGGAGACTATAGAAGTCAGGAAAAGCATTCCACTTCCACAGGCTCCACATAGCTTTTTTGCCATTGAATCTACAACCCTTACATATTCCCTATTCCATGTAAGCAGCAATCCTCATCTATCTATCTATCTATCTATCTATCTATCTATCTATCTATCTATCTATCTATCTATCTATCTACACACACACACAACACACACCTGGGAACAGGATTCATTGAATTCAGTGACTTCTTTGGGATTGTACTGTTAGCTGAATTCAGGTTTGTTGACATGTTACCATCTTGTGATAAGGCTTGCCAGGATCTAGAATTATGTGGTTGTGAGTGAAAAGGATGATCCCCTCTCCATACTGAGAAAAGAAGTATCAGCCAAATGTGGTAGCCCTCCGTGCTAACTATATAACTAAGGATACAGCAGCAATTGTATTACAATATTTGTATGAGACTGATAGTTGGCTAACATTCTAAAAAAGGATGATGTGTTGTTTATTTGTTCAGTCGTTTCTGACTCTTCATGACCTCATTGACCAGCCCACGCCAGAGCTCCCTGTAGGCTGTGGCCACCCCCAATTCCTTCAAGATCAAGCCAGTCACTTCAAGGATACCATCCATCCATCTTCCCCTTGGTTGACCCCTCTTCCTTTTCCCTTCCATTTTCCCCAGCATCATTGTCTTCTCCAGACTATCCTGTCTTCTCATTGTGTTGCCAAAGTACTTCATCTTTGCCTCTAATATTCTTTCCTCCAGTATTAGCTCATATTGTATGTGTCTTCATGTTGTCTCACTCTTTACTTCGACAGTAGTGGAAGGTTTAATAAAATCAGAAAACTCTAACATTTTTAAGGAAGACTAACCAAATTACACAATTGTCCCATGTGGTTGCAAAGGCTTTGCAGTTGCACATATCTGTCCCTATTATATACTATTCTGTCAATCACAGGGTCCCTTCAATTTTTTTCATAGAGTCCCTACATGCAAAAACTTTACATGCATGTTAGGGTAAAAAATAAAAGTATCTAAAGTAAGATATTCAGTGGAGATGGAAAAATCAAACCCATGGTAAGTCTGATTCCAGACTAAGGAAGAATAATAAGTTTCCTATTTTTCTCACACCTCATAATTACCAACTAATAATTTAACAGTTAATAACAATAAAACTAAAAAAAATATGATTGGTACAGTAATGCTTTGAAAACATACAATATGAAAATATGTTTTCTCTTCTTTCTGATTAAATTTGCTTGAAGCATTTCATACCAATAGGATTCCATTTTTTTAACTGAATGACAGACTTTTGGAATTTTAATTACTTGCTAATTAAACAACTCTTCAGGATAAAATAAACCTTTCAACAGAAAACAATAGAAAGGACAGGGCAAATGTTCTCTGGTATATTCCTATTAGCAATGCTCACATATACACCTACCTCTGTGAATATATTGAAGTATGTAGGAGGTAGCATAGCAACTGCTTTCTCTTCTGCTATTTCAGTTCCAGTTCATGTTGATTTTTGTAAAGGAGTGACACAATGTCCTTGCTAGTTCCCTCCAGCTTTCCCTGAAAATCAGTTAGGCTTTTGAGTTAAACACTTAGAAAAAAGTGTTGTTTTTTTCTTTCCTCCCTAGTCTATGAAATGAACATGAAAAAAAAAACTCTGAGAA